TGTTCACATGAAGAACCCGCTACTGATCCATATTTCATAGAAATGTACATTTTTAATGAAATAAAGAAAAAAAACACTTCAAAATGGAGTGAAATTAGATAGGTTGTATTTTTCTTTTTACAAGAAATCTCTTGCAGTTCCTGACTCTAAACTAACAGCACATTTTCCCATTTCTTTTCACAGAAATGATTTTTGGGTAAAACAGAGGAACCACTAAATATTCCCACGTGTATTAAGTCAAAAGAGCTAGCATTCCTCTTGTCATGGGTCTGTAGCTGATGTTCTCCTGGCTTGATGAGCCCAGAAATGTCAGTCATTTCCCACCTAGGTTTTGCTTCTAGATGTCTATATCTGACATGCATTCAAAGTAATTTCTAGTGGTATGGAATCTGGAAGTGATACAACATGTAATTAATTTAGGGTGCAGTTACATGTTGAAATACTCCTGGGTTTGCATAGGGTTTAGCATGCTTGAAATCAATTTAAAAATATTTGTTTTCACGACATACAGCTAAGTGAACATTTTATTTTATTTTATTTTAGGTCAAGAAGCATGGCTGTTTGGTTCAGAGAGTGAGTTTTTATAATCTCTCTCTCTCTCTCTCTCTCTCTCTCTCTCTCCTAGAGGCTAATTTATTTTAACTAGATCATAAACATGATTTATTTTGCATTGTTTTTGTTTGCCTGCCCAACTATGTTGAAGTAAATTGTATCTATGGGCTTTGTCAAATATTGGATGCCAGGATCACATGTTTCAGGCTGCAGGGTAATCTTGCAATCCTATATCTCTCGTATTTTTTAAATCTACAACACTGATCTAGCCAGTTTGGAAAAGGTTAAAAAAAATATTAAAACTCAACCACAGCAGAAGAAAATGGCTTATGTCCTTGCCACTCACATCACCTCAACACAGGAAATGAATTGGTGGTGGTGGCAACAAGTGACTGTGAGAGGAAGCCAGCACAAATGTGGGCAGGCACAGGCCAAAACCCTTAAAGTAGTTCCAGGATGATATGCCAGTGTCCAAAGCGTCTCCCCGTAGCTATGGCAGCCTGGGATTTTATTCTAGTTTTTCGGTGCAGGCATTTCACTGTAAGAATGCATAACCTTAGAAGAGCAAAACACCAGAAGACTGGGTTCCGCTGTGCTGACTTTAAAATGATTTTAATAACCCGTGTAGTCCCCTCAACCGATATAGCATACATCTTACACCCAGATTAAAAACTGTCCTGAGATGATGCACACACCAACCCCCAAACCACATGACTTTAAAGTGACTTCAAAACCCCCAATCCAGCTCCTGATTTATTTCAATAGAATAATCATGTCACAAACTCAGTTGTTTGCCTCTTAGTTAGAAAACACTTGAAGGGGTGGAAAAAAACAGTAATAGAGAACAGCTCTGTTAGGCAATGCTAACAAAGCAGTTTTATGCATATGATATCCAGCACTCTCTCTGTGTTCTTTCTGAATCAATACAAGCTATACACATACCAAACCAATATATGGATGCCATGAAGGTCAAGCAACCTGAAGCTGAATCCTAATAAAAATGGAGGTGCTTGGGGTGCAAGGACAGCCCACCATTTGCCTCAGACAGGCAGTTCCTTGAGGTGGCAAGGCCCTGGCTGCCTCCACCCCCTTTTTCCTACCTTTTTGGTTAGCAAGGGATAACATTGTCTCCTCCTCCTTTACATATCTGTGGATGCTGAAGACAGCCCAGTACCCACCTAGTCCATAGACCTATTACAGCTGGGTTTGGGGTTAGTGTGTGTGTCCTATTGGGAAAAAAATAATCATTTTAAACTGTGTTGTATATTGGTGGAGGAGGCTACATGGGCTTTTAGAATCATTACTCTTGAGGCTTTGTCCTGTGCTCCCCTCACCCTCCCTCATGCTGGCTGCCTCTCACAGCCAGTAGCCACTGCTGCTGTACTGTTACTTTTAGTATATTTTTAAAAAAATTGCAATCTGGCATAGCGCTAGTTTGGTGTGATAGAAAGAAAAAATAAAACAGATCAGACCACCAGCTTCCCCTGCAGCCTGATGCATGTGCATAGAGACAGACAAGCACAAACACACATACAGGGGGTGGAGAAGGAAAGGGAGCAATGGGACCGGCAGCAGGGGCTGGCAAGAGGGAAGGAACACTAGTGAATAGTAAAGAGAAACTGACCAGAGAAATCGGTAAGATTTGAAGCTCCACCCGACTTTTCTCTGCTGGGTCTCTTTTCAGATTAGACTGTAAAGTTTTCCCGCAGCCCAAAACCCATGATCCTGGCATCCATTACTTGACAAACCTCACAGACACAGTTTACACTAACAGAGGCTGTCACATATGCCAAAACAATTCCAAATAAATTGATTTCACAAGCAATTTAAAATAAACAACCCTCTTGTGGCTAAGTAAAATATCTCACTTTTCAACTAAACAATGTGCTTCCTGGGCAAATATATATATATTTGCCCAGGAAGCACATTGTTTAGTTGAAAAGTGAGATATTTTCCCTGTCTGTTGTCTGGTCAGAATCTTAAAAACTGACATACTAAACCAAATTCAAAAACAGCCTTTTCCCCCTTGTGTAACTGACTGCTTAAACAATACTAGTACTTACAGTAAGCTTAAAGATTTATCCATCCTTTATGAACACATAAAGTTCCATGGAGAGTGGAAAACAGAGATTTCAGGGGAGCAGTCTTTTTATTGTCAATTCTGGAAATAGTTTTAGATGCTGGATCAGGTGGTAAAGGAAATCAATGTAGTCAAACTGTGTAACTTTAAATTTGTCTTGTGTACCACATAGTGCTTCAGCCCCATGTGGTACAGTGTAGGTTTTATTGCTGAACAGCTAAATGAGGTATCCACAAAGTTACAACCAAAAGTAGGGGTTGTTGCTCTGGAACAATACACATTCCAACATTCCATAATGGAGTGATTCTTTGAATAAGCAAAAAAAAAAAGCACATACAAAAATGTGCACCTCTTGAGGTTACAGCTTTCAATTTACTGTGAATATTCATGTTGTCTAAAAGGGAGAACAAAAATATCTAACCTTCCAGCTCTAGTAAGTCTATGAGCTCAAATACCATTGCATCTCCTGATGAGACCAATTTCATTGTCTTCAACTCACCTTCTCCATTTTTGTCCCAGGATATCCTGCAGTCTATAAAGACTTAAAATCAAGCCCTGCCTCCTTGTCCTAACCCATTCCCACCTACTTTTTAACATCTTGCCTGATGAAGAGTAATCTTGAAAGCATCCACATTTTCCATATCTTTTTTGTTGTTCTTGTTAGCTAAATAGATATATCAGCCCACATTGGAATTTTTGTTTTGTTCACAGCTATCCATCTTTATTTTTCCCAGATGACCTCTAGATAATTCCACATGGTTCAGACAACCAAGGAGCCAGATACAAATGCAGAGCTAAACTCTTTTTAAAGATGGGGGTAGAGATGCTGCTATCTGTTAATTATGGGGTATGGGGAAGGAGAATCAGGGGAAAGGCAAGAAAAAATGAGGGAGTATGAACAGCAGGAATGATGAAAAGGGGAAGGGGGAAGTATGGAAGGAAAGAGGGGAAGGGATCAAAATTGGGTATGTTGCAGGAATGGGGTGTTGGACTGAAACACTGTGGTTTAATCTAGGAAAGCAGTCTTATGGCTGCAAAATCCTCATCTGCAAATGTTTCATATGTACATGTGTGCATGCACATGTACAATGTATATTTTCAGAATGACAATAACAGAACCTGTTCCACCTTGGAAAGCTACCCCCTTTTCAGTCTGCATGCAGAAGGGCAGGGAAATTATCCTCCTCCTGCAACCCTCTTCTTCTTTCTGGATGACAGCCAGGTTTGCTTATGCCCTTCCCAGAACAGACATATTATTCAGAATGAAGAAGCCCTCTCTGTGAATCTAAGTGGCTTTTTATTTACCAGCTCTTTTATAGCTAATTCAAAAGAGGATGTTATCACTGCTAGGCTCTGAACAGAGAATGTGAAGAGAATTATATACCACATTACAACAATATATTTTTTTCCAGAAAGGTATCTGCCTGTCTGATTTTTGCGTTTTGAAAAAGGAAGGTTGCAATGTCACTGGCAAAGCAATGAGGGTGGTACATGAGCTGTAGCTGCCTTTGGCAAACCCTCCAGAGGAGAGGGAGAGAAAAAAATACCTCCTTTCATAACAGTTGCCCAAATATGCAGCCAGCCATCTCCTTATGTAGAGATACTGTATTCATATTTTGATTCCCCAACAGCTTCTCCCCCCCCCCTTTTCCTCATGCCAGCCAAAGGCAGGCCTTCCTGTATTAGAAAAAAAAAAGGCCGGCGTTTCAGTGCTTTTAAAAAGAGAGAGAGAAATTGTGGACGCTTCCGTAAGGGGAAAAAAAAGACGAATGGCAGGAGCCGTCCCAAGGGGCAGCGGACGGGCGCCGTTCTGTGAGGAGGAAACATGTTGGTGTATAAACTTTTTAATTGGCCAAACCAAGGCCAGATCAAACTTTCCGAACATGGTGGGTCTTATGAGGGACGGGCCCAGCGGCCTCGCCATGTGCGTCGCCGGAAGAGCGGCGCGGAGCCGAGAGCGGGAGCTGCCTCGGCCCTGGTTTGCGCGGTGAACGCCGCCACTGTCGCGGGCGAGGCAGAACTCTCCCTTGCCAGGTCTCCCGCCCGGCCATTAGCCTCGTCTTCGTGGAATTGTTTTCCTACAGCGCCCTCTCTTGGAGGGAGAGCCGCGCCAAGAAGGTGCTCGCTGTTCTCGGCTCTACTGTATAGCCCCTCAGAGCCTCATCAAAAGTATTGGATTTGAAATCGAGGCTTTAACTGCATTGGGCGGGATTCAAGGTAGATCGATTCGGCCCAGCGTTTCCTGCCGCCAAGCTGGCCTTTTTCAACCGGTAGCTGGGCAGAGGGAGTCCCAGGCGCTTCAAGCCCGCACAGCCACCATCAGGCTCGTTGCTGCCAGGCCTAGCTAGGGAAAAAAAAAAGAGAGAGAGAGAGCCTTTTTAAAAAAAAAAGAAATGTGAAAAGACTGTTTAGATAATTTACTTCCTCTCCCAACAGTTTGTGGGTGAAATTAGGGACACCCTGGCTGCGTGTTTGTAACATCTATCCTCAATGATCATCCAAGTGTGTGACATTGCTGACTTTACCAGGAGGCAGAAAATGAGCCTCAGGCTCTGGATACCCCAAGAAATGAGCAAATTGTTAGTTATTTTTAATCTCTTAATATATTTCCCTTTTTTTCAGTCAGGAAGGGAGGAGGTGCCTTGTGTACCAGCATAACCTGGCTGGTTTTAATGAGCGTATACCTCAGTTCAGGTCAGTGTAGGTGTGGAAAAGTCCCAGGCTGATCTTGTGAAACAGTAATGTATCATCCATAAATAAATACATATACTGTATAACTAGTAGAGGAATTAAGCAGGCCAAGCAAAAAAAATGAGTAATCTTAACAACTCTGCTCTTTTCCAGGGGCCATCTGGCTACAGACCTGGTAGCGCCATCCCAAGCCGCTTGAGGTAATACAGTCTGATTAAATCAAATTATTATTTATTTATTTTTAGTAAAGAAGGCGGCACATAAAAATAGAGTGAGAATGCCAGAAAGGATTGTCAGGCCCAGAGGTAATTGGAATTGACATCTAAACAGTATGCAGTTACTCGGTTTAAAAAACTTTGCTGGAGTAGCTCGTGTTTCATACTTTGGCGTCAGTTGTGTCTCAATTAATTTGAGTCATAGGAAGTAACAATGCAGGCCAGCAGCTGAACCAGTTATTTACAGCATGCTGCAAAAGATCTCTGGTGCAGGGGAACTGAAATTTACAGTAGGTGAGTCACAGGCCTTTTCCTGTAAAATGCAGATTTACTGTACAGACCTCTTTCAAAGGCCGTAACAAACTTACTGACTTAGGGCCAAAACTGCATACTGTATGATGTAATTTAAAGGTTGTTAGCTTACTATTGAGTATGGCACATGAAAGATATTCCATTCACCAGCTAATGAATCACACATGTTAGTTAATGTCTCCTGTAATTACAGTTTTCAGTATTATGCAAGACATACAGAAAATATCCTCCGTAGGGACTTAATCCTACTGCTGAGTTTTCTTTTCCACTGCCAGGGAATTTTGTGGTAGGTTAAATTCTCTATTGATCTCGCACTTATAGGGCTGAATCCAATTGTTTGTACCAACTATAGATTCATTGAATCAATGGGATCTACACACCTATCAGCTTAGTAAGCACCATTAATTCAGTGGGTTTACTTTAACAGATGGAGTTATCCCATTCTGCTCAAATCTGTCTTTTAAAAAATTCAAAACTTCTGGAACCATCTGTTCAGTTTTCATTCCTCCTCTCTCCACCTTCTCCAAGCCCAAAGGCTTACAATCTAGTTACTGAACTCAGCAGCAGAAATGCTACGTTATCATTCTGTGTTTGTCTAGTAACACAGTATTGGTCTAAGGCTGAAACTGTATACTTATTTAACCGAGTGTCCGGTTGACATCAGCTAGACTTACTTCTGAGTAGACTCAATAATAACTGCTTATTTTTATCATTTGTAATTATTTATATAGATCACTTGTGTATATTACCAAGGCCCTGAAACTGATGCATAATGATGCATGATCCTATAGATTCCAATAATGTAGGTCCCAAACGAGGCCACTGAGACTGTTGTCAATGATGTTCAGACCATTCTAAACAATACTTTACTCTCCCGGGGTTTGGATGGTCCGTCTGTACTGGCCTGCAGATAGCGCACACTCACACCCATCTTAAACAATTACTGTACTGATATACAACATACAACACAACCTGGAGATGGAGACAGAAATGAGAGTCTCTTACAAATATAGATGCCAGTTGCATCCCCGTATCTGGCAGCACCATCCAAAGTCACTTATGGTGCTCAAAGTGGTTATTGTCAACAAAAAGAATTACAGAAAGGGATAGACGGGAGAGACAGAGGAAGTAGACCACAAATTCCAGTGTACCACCTTGTTATCGTCTGGAGCTTCACCTACTCACGATTCCCCACCCCCATTAGTGATGTGTAAAGGTACAGAGGTATAATGGGAAGCTGAAATTCAATAGTAAGCCACTACTAGAGTAAGCCCATTGAATCAGTGGGGATTTTGTGAGTCAATTCCTTTATTATGTTTTGTGCTGTCAAGTTGGAACTGATGTATAGCAACCTCAATAGGGCTTTCAAGGTAAGTGAGATATTTAAAGAATGAGTTTACCACTTCCACATCCCCATTGAGCTTCCACAGCAGATCAGGGATCTGAACCCAGACATCCTGATTCCTAGTCCATCACTCTATCCACTACACCACACTGGGTATCCTTTGTAAATTCTGTTAATTCAGTGAGCCTGCTCTCATGATTTCAGGCCACGTGTCTGAGGAAGTGCATCTTGAGCCACAAAAGCTGAAAAGGAAACAAATTTATTGTTCCTTAAGACACCACAATATTTTCCTCTCCTATTTTTGGCCAGCAGTACCTCCTGAGTTGTGCCTAGGGGAGCACAGGCAGTAGCTTCTAGCAGGACCCACATTGTCAAAGCTGCTGTGTACAGTAATGCATAAAGAAACCATCCACATATGTGGTAAGGGACCACCTGCCAAATGAATGGTAACCAAATGATAAACATCTCTTACTTTCAGCCCTTCTAGAAATTCATGGAATTTTAGGGTAGAAAATACATTATGAAAAGAATTTTTTTTAAAAAATGGAAGCTTGATATCTGGTTGAACCATGACAGACACAGAACTGATTGGCTCAGAAATTTTGATGATCAAACTTTTTTTAAAATGTAATGGCAGCTATGACCGGATAGCTCTGAATTAGGGCAGAAACAGAGGTTGATAGTGTGATTCCCCATTGTGCCTTTTTGGAGAAGAGCCAGCCTTGAATATCCTTGGGCAAGCTGCATAGTCTCAGAGTGGCCCCAAAAGAAGGAAATGGTAAACCATTTTGAAAAAACACAACCTACAAACAGTATTCAGACCCACCACAAAAATACAACAAATGTTATGGTCAGCAAAGGACAAAAGGGACCCCCTCACCACTACAGGAGTATACGAGATACCTTGCAGTTGTGGACAGGTATATATTGGAACCACAAAATGCAGCATTACACCAGAATCAAAGAACATGAGAGACACTGCAGACTAAAACAACCGGAAAAATCAGCAGTAGCCGAACGTGCCCTAAAACAAGCTGGACATGAAATTCTATTTCAAAATACTGAAGTACTGGACAACACCAGCAATCGTTATGTTAGACTGCACAGGGAAGTCATTGAAATCCATGAACACCAGCAAAGCTTCAACAAAAAAGAGGAAAGTCTAAAACTTAATAAGGCCTGGCTCCCAGCACTGAAAAATATAGTGCTTCCTCCCCCCCCCCCGACCTCGGAGCAAGCCCTTTGA